GATTTATGCGCGGCTGTTCACGATACTAAAATAGATTCCTTTCTTGATACATTCAATTCGTTTCATCAACGTCTACAGTTTACATTGGAAGTGTGCGATTCTCTCAATTTTCTTGATATTTCGATTAGCATCAATAACAACTTTTTATCCTTCGATTGGTATCATAAACCCACGTTTTCGGGGAGATTTTTAAATTTTTTCTCAAACCATCCGATTTCTCAAAAGAGAGGCATTATATTTAACTTAGTTGATAGAGCATTATGTTTATCAGATTTTCAATTTCATTCTAAAAATATAAATCTCATTATTGACATATTAATTAAAAATGATTATCCGGTTAAATTTATCTTTGAATGTATCAATAATAGAATTAAAATTATCAGACATAATAAATTAATTAACACGAATATTTCGATCGATGACGAGGAATCAAGGACGGTCACTTCGTGGTTTACGGTACCGTACATTCCAGTACTTACGGAAAAATTTAGGCAGTTTAACAGGAACGACATCAGGGTATCGTATTTTAGCGCTAATAAATTGAACAAATACATAAAGGTTCATAAAGTCCGATTAGATTCTCTGTCGAAGTCTAATGTTGTGTATAAGATAGATTGTAAAGACTGTGATGCTTCCTACGTGGGGCAAACGGGAAGAAGATTAAAAACGAGAATCACGGAACATCGCAATCATATACGGTGGAATACCAGTTCGAGATCTGTGATCACGGAACATAGATTACAATTGAGACATGATTTCAACTGGAACGATATTCAAATCTTGGACGAGGAACCTTGTTATAATAAACGCTTGGTTTCTGAAATGTTGAACATCAAAAAACAAAACAACAGTCTTAATTTACAAACAGACACAGAGGGTCTTCATAAGTCATATATACCGATCATAAACAAGGTCTGACTTTGCATTACCAGTAGACTCGCATTACAGTTTCGCACATCGTGTGGATATGTCGCTTATTCCGATTATATTCTCAGACAAGATACACTTAGAATGTGATCAATTGTATAAGTTTTTATAATCGACATCATCGTTGTGATGTGATATTTTTTATTTTATCATCATTGACTCCAAAACTTGACGAACATTCCACCTACATGGATTTTTTGATAATTTTCACAGAGAGGTGAGTGTTTTAACAGAGAGATGACTTTTCTGTCTTTATTACGATTTTATTAGAAACATTTTTTTTTTGCTTTCTATCTTTAGAACTACGGTGATCTTTCTCAAACGATCTTCCAATCGCTTGATGGGTTCTGTCGTCCCTCTGAAAAAATACTTCTTTTATTATTTCTTTTATTATTATGAAAACAATCATCGACATACCTTAGTTTGCGAATTTTTACTTGTTTTTTCGATTAATTTATTTTTTGTATTACGCTCACATCTGAGGAGGGCTCAAATTGGGAGCCGAAACTAGTAATGTTTTCGACGAGATCAAATTATTGTACTTAATATCTATATGTTTAAATTGCTTTTATAATCCATGTTTTATTATTGATTATTTTTAATTTTAAATACATGTAAATAATGATATGATCTATTGAACTTCTTCACAATTTGACTCTTGAAGGCCTTATTCTTCGTTTTTGTATTTTGAAAACAGATACATAGAATCTCCTATAAGAGAAAGAGATACAGTCTATATTATAAAATCCAAAATTTTGTTATTAATTTACAGAAAAATGCGCTGGTCAAAAAATCTGAAAAAATTTACATAAAAGCATGCTTTGTAGAGAGATAAAGCTATGTTCCAAATTTCATGCAATTCTTAACGTATTGCATTCTCCTTACAATCTCCTTAACAACAATAATAGTTAGCAATAATAAAGCGGTACGCGCGTTGTTTACAAGCATCCGACGATTCGTTGCTAGGCAATGCGCGGCAAAAGGGGAACAGTGAGCGTCGCTAACGAAATCGAGCCGAAATGTGCAACTAAATCTCAGCTCTGATATATGCAATATATGTATTCATATGACACATTTTAACACATTATGTAACCTAAAATAGCATTGGACCATAACGAAAAGTGCTACGACCGTGTATACTGTCAGTAAAATCTGTATTTTACGTCACATAATATATTACAGATTTTTAGTACTGACAGTGTGACTAAAGCCTTGTGTCCACGATGCTAGAAATCGGTCCGAGATCTCGGATGAAGAAAGCATTGACCAATCGCAATGGTCATATGATCAAATTGTGCAAATGTGATTTGTTAATTTTTTTCTCTGTCCGAGATCTCGGACCGATTTCTAGCATCGTGGATATCGGGCTTTAGAACGCAATTATATTTTAGACTGCGTTCTGTCTAAATGCTCACATGTGAGCAAACCGAGCGACTGGAAACGGCGCACGACTGGAAACAATTGAAAACGTGAGTGCTCACAGCGCATGCAAGTAATGAGAGCCTGAGCCTCCAGAGGGCGTGAGCAGACGGTACAAAATCGATTTTATTGATCTTGATTAACTTTGACCGTCACTCCAGTATCCTTTTTTTGGCTTTATTGCTCCTAACTCCATTAAAAATCATCGTATTGCGATTAAAAATACAGATTCTTAAAGCTGAAACGTTGCTCCTTCAAGTAGTGTAATTGCCAATTTTTTTAAAGTAGAATATATGAGTTGCTAAAAAATCTTTTTACCAATTTGTAAAGAGATTTTTTTTCTAATCCAATATAATAACACCGTGCAGTTTGCTTGAATTGCATCTCACGTCCCGTACGAACCTCTTGTGCATTCCGACCAAGTCACTCCGACGAGTTATATCCGCGCAAAAGTTAGGTAGTTACAATATTACTTTCAATAAATTTTAATCTCAATTTTAACACTTTTAAAATTGTTTACAGTAGAACTTTTACACTTGTTGAAGTTACTTTATAATAGGCTTTTAAAAATGTTAACAACCTGCTGACGAGATCGATCTCACTGGTGTCCGTGTGACATGTAGTCTGTTTTCTGTTTCTGCTAAAACTATACTGCGCTAAACTAGCTGGACTGTCTAGTCTTCACATTTTTTCTTGGTTTTCTTATGTGATCGTCCTTGCCGCGTCAACTTGTTGTCTTCACATTCTCTCAATTATACAGGGTGTCCCATTTTAAATAATGCATTAAGATTTCTTAAAAACCGACGCGGAAAAATATTTCAGACAAATCTTGACCTAACTTTGGGTCGCCAAAGTTAGTTCAAGATCATATCAATTTTTTTAATGGAAACCCCTATTTTTTATTAGTATAATTCTTTAGTATAATTTATTAGTATAATTCTTGTACCTTTTAAAAGTTAGATATCTAACTTTTAAAAGTTAAACTTGTGCGATAACATAAAGTATAAGATAAAATGTCTATACTCTATTCAACGAGAGAATCTCTGCCGGAAATTCTCAATAGAAACCGATAAATCCTTATACAAGATTTATGTCCGATAAATCCTTATACGAGATTTATCTGTATTTATGAGAAATTATTTGGATATATTTGGCTGTATCCGCATCGAAAAATTTTTACTACAATATCTTACATGTTTCTATCCGCACCAATTGTAAATTGAATATATCTGTGAATGCTGATAGATAATTTTTCCGAATTTATCGTAATCAATCGGATGTATCTGCATTTCCATGCATTTGCGAATGCAGAATTTAACCGTACCTATACGCACTCATACGTATTATTTAATGTTCATTGTACCTGCATTTTACGACAAAAAATAGATCCGAATATATTAGCATATATACGTATACCAGTATATATTCGTATTTGCGTATATAGGATATATCGGTCCGTGCTTGCATTGCATATATAGTCGTCAGGTATTGGAATCTATCCGCAATTTACGATCGTATTTTTATCTGCACCAATACGAATTTGGGTTTTACCGCAATTCATACATCCCAAAAAAAATATTCTACCATTTAGCGGTTCCGTATTAATGTCAGAGGATTTTCTATTTATATATGACCTCAAGAAGATACTCTCCAAAGTAGAGGAATTTCATTTACCCATGACAGGTTGGCTTTAAGATTGCAATCCTCTTAATAATAGAAGAATCTCTTTGCTTGAATTAAATATCATATTTACTTGTAATAAGAAAATTATGGTTATATCTTAATGAAAAAAATAATTCTTTTGTTACTATTACTTTTTATTTTTCCAGTTTAATTTATATTTTTACTGTTTTGCATACTTATATTCCGTCTTATTAAATATAATTAATTATTTAAAAACGCATCGTATCGCCGACTCCGGTAAGATTTGAACCTACGATCCCTAGAACGGTAAGCCTAATACATTTACGCTGAGCTAATCGCACGCTTGTGATCGAGTCATTGCCAACGGTATATCTCGTACTGAAACCATTCTTAATTTCATGATAACGTTTCATATTATTAATATTTGATGAGGTTACATAGAAACGAAATAACACGCTGGTATTTATTAATTCAAAATAATTAAGATAAATATTATATGAAAAAACACCATTGTGGAACAATATAAAAGTCATGCTGCATGCACAATTTGGATAGAGGGAGTCGTTTTTACGTAATCCAAAAAATACTCTCGTTTGTAGAGAATAATATTCCTTTCAATATAGGAATCTTCTTGAGATATGTAGCTAGGATGTGTAACTAGGATAGCACGTTTTGAGGAAACAGAGTTTTGAGCTACGATCAAAAATAAATTCTTCTCTATACAAAATTCTATTATAATAATTCGAATAGCCTTTTGAAATAAGAAGATGTACAAGTAGTATCTTGCATATTCTTTTATTTCAAAAGGCTATTCGAGTTATTATAATAGAATTGTCTATAGAGGAATTTAATTTTGATTGTAGCTCATGTGTCCTCGTTTTTATAGATGAATACGTGTTATAAATACATGCGCCTGATTCATTTAAGATTTTTTGCTTACAGGAAGTGCTAAGAGTAATTCCCCGCTTATCGGCAGAATATTTTTTTTTGGGTGTACGCATTTGCGAAAGGCCCACATATGAGCATCAAGCTGCAATGCACTGCGGATATTCGTCATACGTATCTATGTGTATTGTCGTGCATAAAGTTTACCCGCAAATACACGCTTATAAATGCTTCCGATTGTAATTGAATTTACGTACAAAAGATTTATCTGTTCTTATTTGCGTTCGGGCGAACGTCGGCAGGTAGTGGAATGTGTCCGCAGTTTATGATCGCATCTCTATCTGCGCCTAAACAAATTTGCGTTTTATCGCAATTTGTACGCGTTTGCAAACTGCCCGTATATGAGCATGGAACTGCAATGCATAGAAGATATTTGTAATACGTTTCTATACGTATAGCTATGCATAAAGTTTCTTTGCTAAAAATTGCACACTTTCAAATGTTTTGGATTGTAATTGCATTTACGAATACAAGTCTTATCGGTTTCTATTTGCGAACGTCATCAGGTGTAAAATTTGTGTGGAGTTTATGATCGTGTTTCTGTCCGTACCTACATATGCATCTGCGTTTTATTGGAATTTAACCTCTTACTCACGAATGTTACAATTATACAGAACTCTCAAGAGAAGCCATTATGCCTTAAACAATTGCCGCCAGCACGGCGGAAACGAAGGTAGAAAGAAGGGGGCAAAATGTCTTCCTACCGACGACCGAAACGCCACCTCGATGCGCTTACAGCGCTACTCATGCGCCAATCGTAATTCGTAATGGCGACATGGGCGCGCGCGAATTCAACTAGTCTGCGCGCGCGGGAGCTCTGATTCAAAACTACCAACTCGCAACACGAGCTAAGTACGAGATCGATAGTTTTTAGTATTATGGTAGTTCTCATATAATTCCGAGTGTATTGTAACATTTTTCAAATCACGCACATACACTCACACACACACACACACACACACACACACACACACACACACACACACACGCACGCACACACACTATACATATTTTTTAAATAAAATAAAAATTAAGTATAGGGTGTATAAGAGTCAATAATCAGTACAGCTCAAAAGTAAAATAAAGACATATAATATAATTCATCGATATCAATCCTTACAATATCTTGGTGAGACATTATACCACCAAGATATTGTAAGGATTGATATCGAGAAATTAAATCATGTCTTTATTTTACTTTTAAGTTCAACTGGTTATTGACCCTTATATGCCTTTTACTTAATTTTTATTTTTATTTGATAACAAGAGTCTTTATACATATTCACTCTACATATTTATTTCTTAAATTATATTTATCACCCAGAAAAGCGCATTTTTCTGAAACAATAATTTTTAAAAAAGAAATAAATACCTTATAAGATCAGAACTCTTTAGAAAAAATTAGAGCACATCGAGAACTACTGTATATAACGTATATATAGAAAACTACAATCAAACACAGAACTAATGCATAACTTACACATATACGTTTGCGAAATATGAAACATTTGATAGGTAGTCGAAAATTTTCTAAGTCCCACGTCGAAAAATTTTTTAAGAATTCCAGGAGTTCTGATTATCGTTTTGGGCAGTTCTCGACGAGTTCTATCGAAAAGTATCAGGTGACAAAGCGATTGGGTCAACGATATTCAAGATACGCGAAATTAAAGAAGTGATCAAAAATTGTTTTTTTTTTGTTTTTTTCTTGTTTGTCAAAATTGTTTTTTATGTGTAGGTTAGGAACTGTAGGTATTCACTGAATGAAGCTATTGAGCCGCTCAGAACTATTCGATCTCGAATTTCGATAAGAAGTTAGCACCCCATTTTTTAAAAATTATTTAAAAATAGTTATTAAGCGGAACTCTTTTTATAAATTATAGAGATCTCTTCGTCTGGACAAAAGGAAACGGGAACTCAGAACTATGGAATTTCATTATTGGGGTGCTAACTTAACATACGCGTATGGTATATATTCGACTTAATCGATGAAAGATTTATATAAAAATAAACATGTTTAATGATGTTGCGTTTATGACAAATACGCTTCGTGTCGATCAATATTTTGTATAAAATGTTTCTTTCTAATCACATACAGCCCGCAATCCTTAATCCGCACCGGATGTCCGCAAAAGTTACTAGGGATCGCGTCCGTAGTAGGGATTGCGGATTGCGGCAGATATTTTCTCACGTAATCCGCAACTTATGTGAAAATGAGTGTAATTTTAAAATAATTTTTTATTTGCTTATTGAAAAGCGAATCGGTTTTTTCCTACAGCTTTGCTTGAAAATTACACATACGAATAATTTCAAAAATTATATGAAAATATATTTGACCTAATATATATGTTTACTACTAATTTGAGTACTTATTTCCGATCTCACACCTTACGCGCGCTCGACCACGTCAATTTCTTGCGGATCGAATTTATGACCGCGCTACATAGCACGAACGGAAAATCATAAACAATTAATCTCTCGTCAACTACCGCGTTTTGACACGATTTATAATATTCTGGATTAATAAGAAGAGGTATATGATTATTACGATTTATTAAAACTTATATGTTATCTAGAACGTCCTCATGGCTCTTGATAC